ATCCAGCCAATAAGAAGTGAGGGGATATGCACAAGAATGCCCACACTTGCTATCAGGATTGACTGTGAGGGTTGTAAATGTAAAGGTAGACATTTTGCAGCAAAAGTAAGGGAGTGATTGACTTTGCAGTCCAGGAGTGGAGGTTCCTGGGACCATCAAGGGAGAAGAGCGGAGTGCAGGACCCTACCCAGAGAAACAGTGATGCCAGAGATGGAGGCAGAGACAAGGACGTGGCGATATGGAGTGGCTAGACCCAGAGAGGGAGAGGGCCTATGTGCTGACGACTGAGGGGCAGGCTTGCGGGGTATACCCTTTGGCTGGCTGATGATGCACAGAGGGGATTGTAAGCATGGCAGTGAAATGATATACTATAGGATGAATACTACAGTTCTCCCTTGTAAACTATCACATAATTCACAATAAAACATTTAAAAAAAAACAAACCTGATATCTTTGCTCTTGAACACTTAAAGGAGGTCTTGTGCAGCAGATTTACCTGATGCCATTGTCATTTGATTTCCTGACTGCTGCTTCCATGAGTATTGATGAGTGGACCCAAGCAAAATTAAGTCTTTGACAACTTCAATCTTTTCCCCATTTATCATTGTATTATTTATTGGTCCAGTTGTGAGCATTTTTGTTTTCTTTTCATTGAGGTGAAATCCATACTGAAGGCTGTGGTCTTTGATATCCATCAGTACGTACTTTAAATTCTCTTGGTTTTTAGTAAGCAAGGTTATATCATCTGCATATCACAGGTTGCTAATGAGTCTTCCTCCAATCCTGATGACATGATCTTATTCACAGAATCCAGCTTCTCGGGTTATTTGTTCAGTATACAGACTGAATAAGCATCATAAAAGAATACAGTCCTGGCACACACCTTTCCTGATTTTAAATCATTCAGCAGCCCCGTGTTCTGTTTGAATGACTGCCTCTTGGTCTATGTACAAGTTCCTCATGAACATAATCAAGTGTTCTGGAATACCCATTCTTCGCAATGTTATCCATAGTTTGTCATGATCCACATAGTCAAAAGCCTTTGCATAGGCTGGCTTACAAGTTTTCATTAGTGTTTCAGAATGAGGGGGTGGGGGTAAGGCAGAACCCCCACTAAATAGTTTTCCTCTTTCCCAGATGGATCTGGTGAAAGGGGATGGGAATCAACGGTGATGGGATTTATGATTCAGTTGTGAGTAACTGTTAGCAGGATTAACTGTGATTATCACCACTGTAATTGTAGAAGATGATATGTAACTAAAAGGAGAGAGAAGGTTATCTTTCATTTCAGGAACAGACGATCTCAGGACCATCATCAAGAAGAAAGAGCATGAGTGGAGTGTGAGATCCCTCGTAGAAAAGTGGCAACAGCAGAGACTGTAGCTGTGTACCAGTGGGCATGAGGCTGGCTGGCAGAATGTGACCTTTGGACATTAAATGAATATATACATATATTTTGCTTTGTAAGTATATATCAAATATTTTTGCCTTGTTCATTTGTGAAAAATAAGATGTAAATGGAGAGCCACAGGGTGGAAGTAGGATAAATGTTGTTTCAGGGAAGGGATTGCAATCACTGCGATGAAACAAGGTGTATAGTTTGCTGAATGCAGAGCTGATGATTTTGTCTGTAAACCTTCACCCAATTCACAATACAAAGTTAAAAAAAAAAAAGAGGAATGGAAAAAACAAACAGGAAGTTGGATAAGTGATGTTATATTGTGGGGGCTGCAATCAGTAAGATGACACAAAATGAAAAGGAATTCTTGTATGGAAAACTGATCTGCTTCTTTAAACTTTTATCCAACTCAAAATAAAAAGTCTATTTTAAAAAAAGGAAGAAAGAAAGAAAAAGCCTTTGTGTAGTCAATAAAGCACAAGTCTACATCTTTCTGGTATTCTCTGCTTTCAGCCAAGATCCAACTGATGTCAGCAATGATAGCCCTAGTTCCACACCCTCTTCTGAATCCGGCTTGAGATTCTGGCAGTTTCCTGTCCATGTACTGTTGCAGCCGTTTTTTAAATTATCTTTAGCAAAATTTAACTTGCATGCAATATTAATGATACTGTTCGATGATTTCCACATTCTATTGAGGCATTCTCTTTTGAACAGGCAGAAATATGGGTCTCATCTTATCAGTTGCCCAAATAACTGTCTTCCAAATTTCTTGGCAAAGATCAGTGAGCGCCTCTAGTGTTGCATCAGTTTGCTAAAGATTTCAATTTTTATTCTGTCAATTCCTGGGGTCTTGTTTTTCACTAATGTCTTCAGTATAGCTTGGACTTACTCATTCAGTACCATCGGTTCTTGATCATATGTTATCTCTTGAAATGGCTGAATATCGGCCATTTCTTCTTGGTGTAGTGACTTTGTATATACCTTCCATCTTCTTTTGATGCTTTCTGCATCATTCGAAATTTTGCCCATGTTGTTATGTGCTGTGGAGTCGGTTCTGACTCATAGCGACCCTGTACAGGGTTTCCAAGGCTGGAAATCTTTACGGGAGCAAAAGGCCTCATCTTTCTCGGTGGAACAGTGGGTAGTTTCGAACTGCTGACCGTGAGATTACCAGCTCGATTCATAACCACTACACTACCAGAGCTCCTTATTTTGCCCATTGTTGTTGTTGTTGTGAAGTGCCGTTGAGTCGATTCTGACCCATAGCAACCCTGTATAGGTTTCCAAGGAGCAGCTGGTGAGCTTGAACCGCCAACCTTGCAGTTCAAATGGCTTTGCAGTCTGGCACATTAACCACAGCGCCACACCAGGACTCCTATTTTGCCCATGCAATACTTCAATTATTTCAAGTCGAGGCTTGAATTTTTTTCTTCAGTTCTTTTGGCTAAGTGTGTTCTTCCCTTTGGTTTTCTAACTTGAGGAGTTTCTACATTTCATTATAATATTTGACTTTGTCTTCTTGAGCTGACCTTTGAAATTTTCTGTTCAGGTCTTTGACTTCTTTTCTTCCATTTGCTTTAGTATCTCTACACTGGAAAGCTAGTTTCACAGTCTCTTCTCACATTCTTTCTTTCCTGTCTTTTTAATGACTTTTATTTTCTTCATGGTTGACATTCTTGATGTCATCCCACAGTTCTTCTGGTCTGCAGTCATTAATGTCTAATATATCAAATCTGTTCTTGAGATGGTCACTAAATTCAGATGAGATATGTTCAAGGTCATATTTTGGCTCTTGTGAACTTATTTTCATTTTCTTCAGCTTCAGCCTGAACTTGCATATGAGCAAGCACCTCCTTCAGGACTGTGTACCATCAACAGGGTTGTTGCTGTGCCTCTGAGCAAAACATGTGTAGAGACATTCAGTGGCCAGCCCTTGAAGGGGCCCCACTGTTGACCCACCTGAGCAATCTGGTTTGCAGGTGAGGAAACCTGGGGCATAGTACTTACCCTGCGCAGGACCCTAGCACTTGCTCCCTCCACACACTCTAGTACACTAGGCCTCACTCTCCACCAGCTCACAAGCTGGAGATCAGGCCCTTCTTTGGGGGACGGACATGGGCCTCACTGATGGAAATCACCTTCCTTGTGTCCCTTTTGTCTCCCAATGTTTGGCAGCTGGAATGGGCAGTCTCTGTATGAATGACTCTCCTGTCCCCAGAGGCCAGTTTTGCCACACGTCCTCCCACAACTATTACTACAACCTCAGGTGGGCTTCATCCCTGCCTCAGTGTGCAGGTGCAAGATGGTTTGCTTTGTCTCCCCATGAGACTATATATAGATCCTCTCATGGCGGACCATGTGTGTGGCCATGGCAGCCCAAGCAGGGTGCTGGTGGGTCTGCTCCATAAACAGAGAGGATCCCCACCAAAGGATCTTCACCAGAAGTCTGTAATCTCCTCTCTGGTGTCTCCCTCAGGAGCTCTGGTAATGCAGTGGTTAAATTGCTTGGCTGCTGACTGAGAAGTCAGTGGCTTGAGCCCAGCAGGCTGCTCCTTGGAGGAAAGATGTAGCAATCTGCTCCCTATGGGGACGCTGTGAGTCGACAGCAGTGGCTGTGGATTCTGTGTTTCTTGGTAAGGGGCCCCAAGTCAGCATCTAGAACTATGTACAGAGAAGTCAGCCAAGGGGGGCCAGCAGAGCCAACGTCCTCAGAGACCCCAGCCCCAGGGCTCCCAGTGGTGGCCAAGTCCAAGGAGGAGTCACAAAGTGACAGTCTGAGGCGACAAGAACCTGCTCTTGCCTACTCAACTCCAGGTCAGGTTCAATGGGACACCCCCACACTCATGCCTTCAGGGAGCATCTAAGGACAGACTCAGCCTCTTCCTCCTTCGTTGTCTGAGTGTCAGCGTCCAATGCAACACTTTCAATAAGACTCTCACAAAAACCATTCACGCTCCAGCGGGCTCTGCCTATCAAGCCAGACATCAGAACCTCCGTGGACAGAACAATTAAAGAGTGCTGGGCGACAGAGAAGGCCTGGCTGGAGCTAAGGACAAGGACATACTGCCCGGCACATCTGGAAGCAGCTGACAGTCTTCATCCCAGATAGCCCCTCGAGGCAGTAAAGAAGCGTTACACTCTTCCCCCACCCCCAGGGTGCAAGAGTGCCCCCCTTCCAGATCCCTGTACACACTCTCAGGGCCCCACACATGCCCACAGAAGCAAGAGCTGACCAGGGTGTGGAAAACTGCATGAGGCCTCAAGAGCCTTGGGACCACTCAGGATGAAGATGCAAGGCTATGTGGACATGCTGCTCTGAGGTCAGAGAACACAGTCTCAAGTCACATTGACAAGACAGATGGACAACAGGAACTGGACCCTGGAGATGAAAGGAACTCTGGTTTTGGCAAGGCCTTGACAGGTGTAGGGTACTCAGGGAGAGAGCAGGAGTGGACACAGGATGTTCAGGTGGGAGTCAATGCAAGGCCATACCTTGGTCAGCAACAGTGGGCACAGGGCGGCTGGGAGGGTTCCCCATGCTGTACCTTGCTCAGTAGCAGTTGGACATGGGGTGACTGTGGAGGGTGGCTGTGGGCCATACCTTGGTCAGCAGCAGCACACGCTTTTGCAGCCTTCGAGCCAGGGCCTCACTGATCTCACGCTGCTTACGCTCTTCCAGCAGCTGGCTGCTCACCTGGCAGAGCTCGTCCTGAAGCTGCTGCCGTGCTTTCTCCAGTCCACGGGCACTGTGGAGACACACATCAGGGACGTGAGGCTGCAACCCCACTCCCCAGCAACACAGGCCCCAGAATGTCCCCTCTGAAAGTGGGGCCCACTGTCAACCATGGAGCAGAAGGCAGAAACATGAGGCCTGTGTGCCTCCCACCACCCTGAGCATTCAGGAGGGAATGGCAGCTCCCTAAGAGCCTGACTCGGAATCACGAGCAACTCAGCTTTACACTAGTGTTCACGTGCATTCATAGTCATTCATTCGTTCCTGGGGCATTGGTAGACATTTCTGGCCCTAGAGAGACAGCAGGGTCAAGCCCATGCGGAAGACTGAGCAGCCAGCACCTGTCTAGACACAGACAATGTGTTTACTTTTGTATTCAGCACCATCATGTGAGGACGCAGGGTCCTCATGAGAGAAGAGACCATTAAGGATGGTATCCTGACAAGTACAGGAATCTAGCACCTGCCAAAGAATTATGTTCCCACACCCCTGTATACAGTTTGGGGGGCAGGGGGCAGCCTCAGTGAGAAAGGATTGCTCGCCCTGTGGACCCCTTGATTAGGAGCCGAATGCCAGCACCCAAGCAGCCGCCCTGCTGGCTTCCCTGTGCCAGGATGTTCTTTCCACTCCATCTTAGCCTTTATGGTCCAGTGAAGACAAGGAAACTCATAAAAAATTAAAGCCCGAGCCCCACGAAGGAGCTCGACTCCAAGGTCACCGGCATTTCCAAGAACCTTTGGGAGTCCTTAGAGGGAGCATAGGGCATGATCATCGATCGGGGTGCCTTTAAGCTAGCATTTGCTGAGGGGAGCAAGGCGGGGCCTTTCAGAAGCCATCTCTGGGCTGTCTGGGGCCATCCCAGAAAACTTCAATGCAACGTCCATCAGAACTCCAAATCCAAAAATACCCACTTCCAAGGAACAAAGAAAGGGCACAGTCAGTTCTGAGACAGTGGGAGGCATTTGAATGACCTTTTTGGGGACAAAGTGGAGCCCTGCCTCCCCACCCACCCGGCGCAAACCCAGGTGCTCACTTGGTCTCCTCACAGCAACTAGCCACTATGCTGTACACCCATCAACCAACAAAATATCACCCATGCATATGGAGCAAGGTACTCCTGAAAGGCCAGAGTCTGTGGTTAAAGGGTCCCAGGGCCTCGCCCACCTCCAGAGATGCCAGGTCCTGACATGGCACACAGGCCCCTGCTTAAAGGAGACTGACTCTCACCTGAGCAGAGTGTCCATCCTTTCCCGAGTGTTGGCCCAGAACTGTAACCCAGCCCAGGAGCCTGAGTCTCACCTGTATGTAAATTTGTTGCTGATGCTAAGTGCCACCGAGTCGATTCTGAATCATAGCAATCCTGCACAGGGTTTCCAAGGAGTAGCTGATGAGTTTGAACCACTGACCTTGTAGCTCAAACTGTCCTCACAGTAGAGGGCTTAATTCTACAGCACCACACCAGGATAAGGGTGCCAATCGGTTTCCCCCTGCCCCATGCCTGTCAGTGTGCCATTTTCTGGCTGGGTGGGTGTGGCTATGATTATGGGTGTGGCTATGATGTTCGATGCTATGCCACCAGAATGTCAGACACCAGAGGGCCTCACACAGAGGACAGGCTTTAGCAGAACTTCTAGCCTGAGGTAGATTAGGAAGAAATGTCTGGTGGTTTTCTTTGAAGTATCAGCCTATGAGAAAACAACACTGTCTGATTCATTTCCTTTGGACACATCATCAGGAGGAAGACATCTCATTTGGTGAAGCAGAGGGCCAGCGAGTGCAAGGGAGACATCGGAAGATAAATCAGCACAGTGACTGGAACAATGGACTTGAGCATGCCGCCAACGATCATGGGGAGGACGGAAGACCAGGCGATGTTTGTTTTGTTGTACATAGGGTAGCATGAGTCAGAGGCAATGCAATAGCAGGTGTCTATTTATCTGTGTCTGTCTGTCTGACTGTCAATCTTTCTATCAGTTTATTTGTCTTTCTGTCTATATCTCCATCTACTACTTGTCTATCTGTCCATCGGCCCGCTTGTCTCTCTGTCTACCTACTTACCCATTTATCTTCATAGACCTGCAGAGCCACGCCCAGGCCCAAATTGAAAACCCCACCAGTTCTGAGTGGCACACACCTCTGCAGACAGTAGCTCATACAGTACTCACACACATGTTGCACAGGTTACCCCACTAGGGAGCAGGCACTTGTGGGGTGTTCTCAATATGGTGGACTGGCAGGAGAGCAGCAACTGGAGTAGGGGCCCTAGGTTGCCCCACTGAGGAAGCAGACGTGAGTGCTGAGTGCAGAGTGCAGAGTTCAGAGTCTTGCCTCCAAGTCCTGCTGGCTAGTATCTTTGGCCTCCACTCAGGACTGAAGACAAAGAGGAGGTAGAGGTCTGGCTCCCTGGGCTCAGTCCCACCGGTCCCTGACAAGGGCAAGGAGGTAGGTGGATTGTGCTGGGGTCTCAGCTGCCCACCATGAGCCCTCACCTCCAGCTCCACACTCACTGGGGACTTTGTGTGTGTGTGGGGGGCGACCTCAGAGCACCAGGATGCCACTATCTACAGCATCTCGTTCCAATCCTAACTGCTGCCAAGTGTCATTACACTTATCTCTGAAATCCATTTAAATGAAGTTCCAGTCACTGGCAGGCGGCTAGAGCACTAGTCCTTGAGGGAGGCCTGGTTAGAGCACCTCACCAGGGCTCACCTCCAAATTCAAGACACACAGGGGTCACACAGCATACACAGACCTGACCTGGATGGGTCACCCTTTTCCTTCACTAAACAACGGTCACAGGAAGAGCTCATCTTGGCTGCTCTCTGGTCCATCTGCTGTTGCATCATAGGGGCTGCCTCCTGATTTGGGGTACGGGAGCCCCCATGAGGCCAAACAAGTATGAGTCACTGGAGCACCTGGGCTCTTAAAGTGGAGGGCAGATGGGTGGGGACAGAGACAGCCCAGTGACACAGTAATCACGCTGTAGTGGGGTCTATGTCAACAGCCCACTTTGAAAGGTCCCAGAACCTGCCCACACCATGCACTAACTCCTTCCCTCACACCATCCCACCGTCTGCTTCTGTAAATGTTTTATTGGCATATGTTCACTCCCTGAAGTGCAGTCGTCCTGTGGACCCCGCACCAGGCTGAGGACTGGCTTCCCTGGGGGCCAAGCTCCAGTCACTCCATGTGCTCCCCCAGTGTCATGATGCTTGTAGTTAGCCCCAGGCCCAGCCCAGGGCTCATGTGGCCTTCTTCCCCACACTGATCAGGGCCAGGGGTCAACTCCGAGAGAAAGGGAGGTTCCAAGCTGGTCCCAAGGGTTTGGAGGGCACAGTCAGAGGAGCTGGGGAGACAGAGTGGGAGCCTGCAGCCGCAGATTCTAACAGCAGGGGTCAGGAGAGATTGTGACACTCCTCAGCTAAATGGAGGTGACGAGGAAGGGTGGAAAATGCTAGGCACTGCACACCAGAGACTGGGGACAAGTAGCAGGGAACCCTTTTGGTGGGCCTCAGAAGGCAAAGGAGGAGCACCCATGGGAGACAGAAAAAGGAAAGGCTGAATGCACCAGGGTGGGAGGCCTCTGAAGAGCAAATAGAGTACTGGGACTGGGAAGAGAGACACTGGGGTCACCCCATCAATTCTGCATCTCCCCAACATGTAGAAATTCAACCCTCAGGTGGAGCAATTGTGGGGCTGCTGAGGCATGTGCAGAACGGTCCCTGGAGAGCAGGGTCAGCACCCGGACAAGGACTTCCTGCGCCACCATGCTAATGCCTGGCTGAGCCTGTCACCGATAGTCAGGGCAGTGCCTCTAGGCAGCACCCAGAATGGAGATGCACATTTTTTAAGCACCAGCTCCCAGGCACCTGTGTCAAAATGAACCTTTGGATCCATCTCCCACCCCGGCCTGGACACGGGTCTGGAGAGCTGGCGTTCAACTTGAAAAATGCCAGCTCCAAGCAGCTTATTTCTCCTGAACTTCAAGGATGGACGCAGACAGCAGTGACATTTAACAGGAGAGAGCTCACCAAGGCGGGGTGCAGGGTGCCCAGGTGCAACCAGGGCCTCAGGAGGAAATGGCCCCAACAGGGATTGGGTAGTGACCCATCTGGAGTACTCAGGAAGCATGGCCTAAGCTAAATAAAAGGGCAGCACTGTCCAAAGGCACCCTATCACAACCCCCAGACAGAGGGAATAAGGCCATGACCCTTGTTTATCCCTGCTGAACCCCATCACGACGCCCCCACACAGCCATGTGTACCCTTTCACGGCACCCCTACACCACTGAGTGTACCTCCAGTGTACCCCACCACAGCGGAGGTGTATGTCAGCACTAGCTCAGGTAGGGGGTGGTGGCAGCCGCAATGACGAGAGCCCAGTTGCTGGGGCAGATTAGGGACAGGAATGTGCCCAGGAGTGGATACCAGGGGCCAGTGTCCAGCTCCTCCCCAGGGCCCTAGCACTCAGTGCACCATCCTCTCCCTCCCCATTCAGTGACACTCCCAGATGGGCGAGAGTCCACTGTGCATCTCCATGCTGCTGGGTCAGAACCCTGGTGAGGGGACCAGAGGAGTATATTCACTATCCAGGGCTGGAAAGACACAGGCCACGTGTCAGACAGAAGAGACTTCTGACACAATACTGACCACAAAGTACCCCTACTAACACTCCGCCCCTTCCATCCTGTGTGTGATAACCATCAGCTCCACCTACAGACCAGGCTTAGGGGAGAGCAGTGGGTGTGCAGAGGGTTACACAGCTGGCGTTCAACTCATTTCACCTGAGTCCAAACCGAGAGCCAGTCAATGAGCTAATTCCCACTCCCGGTGCCCACGTGGTATTGAGTACAACGGAACGCCACAGGATTTTCTTAATTGATGTGGAAGCAGATCGCCAGGTCTTTTCTTCCACTGCTGACTCTCCTACACAGCTGTAGCACTTCCACTCCAATTCAGCCTCCACCCTAATTCAGCTGGGTCCAGATCGAGGGTGTCAGGGTGCCGAACATCA